GGGACATTGTGTATATACCCTAGGGAATGAAACATGCAGGCTATAGCGTATTTCCAGGCTTCTAGCTGGTACATCAGAGACGCGTGTTCAGGCAGTGAGTGCTGTGAGGTGCTTCACACTCTGGATCCTTTCCTGGTGGTGCTCCAGGCCTGTTTTCCTGAAGCTTACACTCGGTTGTTTTAGTTTTGCTGGTTCCTTATGGGACAAGGCACAGAATTGACAGAACAGCTTCTCTTTCAGCAAACCTCTTTCGGGACCAAGCTGGCAGGTGGGGAACGTGGATGCTCAGCACCGTTAACCAGCGGTGTAACGTGGCGATACCAAAGAGGAGGGCTGGGTGTCCTCAGTGCCCAGCAAGTGCCGTGGAAGTGTGAGTGTCACCGTCCCAGCTGGCGCCCTGAGCTCCGTGTCCTGCTTTTCATTGCCTGGCTGCTCGGTGGGCACCTCCTCGGCGGTTAGCAGGGCCCGCTGCCGTAGCTGTAGCTCTTGGACCACTGATACGAGTACGGGTACGCCGTGCACAGCTCGGCGCCCTTGGCGGGGCCCGGCGTGCACGTCACCACGCAGGGCTTGGGGCACCGCGAGCAGCTCGGCGTGGCGCGCGCCGTCCCGCCGGGAATGTACCACTGCTGCTTGTACTGGTAGCCGTAGTGAGACATCTCCCCGGGACGTGTTAAGCCTTAAAGCAAGGAGCAAGGGGTAGGGTTAAAGCGCGACAGGGACTTGTCACGGGCCACCACCCCTTTGGCCTTTACCCTGACGTGCTACTGAATCACAGATGGGCACGGCTTAGCCCTGCTGCTGCAGGGGCCACCGTGGGTTCCCTGTGGGATTCCTCCTCCAGGGACCACCGTGGGTTCCCTGTTGGATACCTCCTCCAGGGACCAGCATGGGTTTCCTGTGGGATTCTTCCTGCAGGGATCACCGTGGATTCCCTGTGGGATTCCTCCTCCAGGGACTGCCGTGGGGTTCCCTGTGGGATTCCTTCTCCAGGGACCACTGTGGAGTTCCCTGTGGGACTCCTCCTCCAGGGACCACTGTGGGGTTCCTCCTCTGCACCAAGCAGGGGGAGGCTCAGGCGAGCGGCCGTGATGGGGCTGCGTGAGGTGCAAGACTGTCACCTCCAGCTGCTTCCAGCTGGGGACAGCAGGGTGCCAGGAGCTGCTTGGTCACCCGAGCGGCTGCAGGGGATGCTGGACACAACGGTGGGACCGTGCAGGGCCCATCCCAGCAGCAGGGGAAGCGGCCGGAGCCGCTTCTGCCCTAGAGAAGCTGTGGGGTGTCCTCCCTGCCAAGGACGCGTGACGGAGCACGGAAAAGTGCTGAGACCTCGAGCTGCCTAATTAAAGCCAGAATCTCCCTGCAGATCAGCCGTGTTCAGCGTCCCCAAGTCTGGGCGTCTGCAGGTCCCTGGGACTTGCTTCCCAACCCAGGATTATTCAGAGCACTGAGCTTTTATATATATATATATATATTTAATCTTTTTATATACATGTATAAAAAAGCCAAGCTTTTGATTCTGTATAGAAATTGCCCTCAGTGGTGTCATAGCATCTGTTTCAGATTCCCTGTTTTGCAGGGTAAAGTTCAGCTGCTCACAGAATTAGTGACTCCAAAGGTGCTAAATAAGCGATCTCTAAGCCAGGAGGAAGTTGGAAAGCAGGATTTTCAAAGCAGATTAAAGGTACGGATCACTAAATCGCCAGATAAACATATTCCAAATTCACATCTGTAAATGTGAAGGTAAATCTCAGACTTACTTCAAATGCCTGTATTTAAGCTTACAATAAAAGCCAATAACAATATATATTTTTTTCTCTCAGGGAACTATCGCCTTATTTCTTAATGTCAGAATATTTCTCCAAGATTTAGATGTAAATTCAAAACACAGCAGAAGTCAGTAGAAATAGTCCCATAACTTACCGAGCTCACAGCAGAGGGTGAGAGACGAGGTCTGTATCGAAGCAGGGAGATGTGTGTTTTTATACTGTCTCCTAAGCTGCTTGGAAAATCTTAGATAATCTCATCGTAATGGGACGTGGAAGGGAATTTTTTCATGTATAACTTTTTCATTGACTGTAATTATTTTACTCCCTTGTGATTATTAGGGTTTTGTTATCCCCACACAGCATGAAATGCATCTCACACCCTGTGGACTCTTTCCATTTTCAACCTTTATGGGCTAATAAAGTGCCTTGTTTTATCCCATTGACCTCATTAGTTGTATAAGGAAATCTGTTGGCTCCTCCACAAACTTCTTTTAGCATCCAGACAACAGGGAATCAGCGCAGGGAATGGGGCACTCATTGCCTGTGCTCAGATACCCCCTTCATGACGTCCAGTTGAGTCTCCTGGGGGGAATACTGGGAATGACCAGGTTGCTTTGGATTTTGGGCAAGTTTTTCTGATCCACTCCCAATATCTTGCTCTTTGGGCACCCTGGCAGAGGGTTTGACTCTGCATTGCTGGTGCCTTGTGCTTGCTCCTCCCCAGGGAGCCTCTTCCCTACGTGAGATATCATCACGCCTCCCTCAAAACCTTGCTCACATAAAAGATTAATGAGCGTTCGGGAGGAATTAAGATGTCCAGTTATGAAGGTGCCTTTTAATAGCTTCTGTCAGTGCTATTCTGGTTTGCTGCGTAAGGAAACGCGGGCCTGCCCAGGTGTGGTCCTGGCAGGACCGTCCCCATCATCAGGGCAGCGAAGCTGGGGCATCTTAAAGTTTCATCCTGCACTTTCATAGCTTGAGACAGCCTTAAAAAAACAGATTTTTGTTTTCTATGAAAGAATAAGCTCACGTAGCTAAAGGTAGTTGTAGTCCCGACAAAGTTAAAATAGTGAATAAACCAAGCAGAGTAGTTTATAAGGTAGTTGAGCTGATCCCTTGCTCAGGAAGGAGACATCAAGAGTAGCTGAAGCTCTGAGTTTCTCATGGCTTTTATGCACTTTCCAAGCCAGTCTGGTGGAGATGACTTTTCTTGGAGCATGAGGTCCTTATTAATTGATGCAGTAAATCCTTCTGTTTAATTGGGATGTCTCGGGCTCAGAGAAAATGCCGCCGTGAGGCCACATGGAAGGGGTGGAAGGGGTGGAAGGGGAAGGAAGTTTGGGGTTTTTAGTTTGGCTTTACGAATCTTTCCTGGGTATCCTTAAAGACAGGAGGATGTTAAACTCTCATGAAAAATCTCACCACTTGAACTAGATACCGAATAGCCACGTCCATTCTCTATGGAGGACTTCCAAGGTGTTGGGCCTGTCAGTGTCTTAGGTGCTTTTCTGTCTTTCCCTGACGAAGATCACAATTTTTGTGTTTCGTGTTTTCTAAGACCTGGGGTTTGGGTTCGCCCGTGAATGGCGCTGACACGCGGGTGCTCTTTGCTGCACGGTCTCCTCGTGGCGTCTGGCCACGCTTCACGCTTGACTCAGCCCTTCTTTGCTGGCCTCCTGCAGCAGGGCTGGGGCTGGGCCTTGCAGCGCCCTCGTTAAGCTCTTGTTAAACATCCCTGTGACAACCCCGCTCGTGTTGAACACGAGGGAGCGTTTACGCCTTGCTTTGGAAATGCTTTCAGGAGGCATCCGCTTGCCTAACACGAGTGTTGTTAGCCTTTATGTTCGGATAAATGGACTCGGCGGTGATTTTTAACCCCAGGCAGTCAGCAGTGCAGAAGGAAGCAAATTCCAGCCCTATGGATTCCTCTTGCAATTACTCTTGAACTTTGAGAACAACAGATTATTAATCTGTTTTGTTAAATCAGACTTAAATATTTGTTTTTTTTATCTCTAATCAGCTAACATTAAAGTAATTGTAATTCCAACCTTTCTGAGGAATGACTTTAGGGGTAATCCCTATCTGATCTAAGCCAAGATAGACCCATGTTGCAACTCACACCATTATTCTCCATTGTAAAAAGGCACAGCCTTTTTCCCAAAGGAACGACAAGTATCTTAATGGCGTAATGGTGCGGGGAGGGTGGCACAGGAAGATAAATCTCGGTGTGCAATTAGCCTGGATGTCTTCCTACAATTTAATTCCCATTGTGTGAAAACCTTGATAATTCTAATTCAGAGCAGTGTGTATCGCTCTGTGTGGGCAATGTGTGGGCTGGTTGTTATAATGGATTTAGGTGCCCTTTGGTTGGACAAGCGACTCGGTTGAAAACATCAGACAAGGTCTTGTAAAATCTGCACCTCACTGTATTTTTTTTGTCATTTTTTAAATAAAGTCATGATTCCCACCTTTAGAATATGGGCTCTAATGTCCTATAAAGGGGAGACCTGGAGCACGATCCCGATCCGCGTGCCTTCTGCGTATCCGAGTAGACTCTCCCCTCTATAAAACGTGGAAATAGCAGGGATTGGGAGACAATAAAACTCAAGTTGGGTAGGGGGGAGGACAAACCAATAATTACAAGGTGATTTATTAAAACAAATTGACACTCATTAGCAACGCTAACCCTTTAAAGAAGCGAGTTTAATATCTGATGAGGCCCTTGTGCATGGGTGACTCACGCTTTAGGCGGTCTCAGAACAGGTATAAAACCTCGGCCGCGGGTCTTGCTTGACCATTTCTCTTGTCTTGTTGCTTTTGTGAATTCGGTAAGTTTGCTCTGAATTTCTCTTCCTAGCTGTGCATGTGCTGCTGGTTTTAACTCAGGGTGAATCCTGTGCTAGTTCTGTGTGACACCATAGCGATCTGAAGATTCTTCTTGATGAAAATTAATGCTTTTGTGGGGGGCTAACTATTGGCTTTGGTAAATGCTGGCCTCAGAAGCTGTCTGGGTGTTCTGAAGACGTCTGAGCTCCTACCGCTTTTCCATGAAGACTCATTTCCAGGTGCTGCTGTTCGCTAGAAGTGTAGCTGTAGCTTCCTGAGCACCTGAGTCTGCATCTTCTCCCCCTCTAATCTGACTGTTGATTTGGTTCTTGATCCTTCAGCTTGCAGGAATGTCGCTCACGTTTTCTCTGTTCCTTCGTGCTGCAGGTCGCCCGGCCCTGAGCCATGTCCTGCTCCGCGGCGCCGTGCGGGGCGGCCGCGCCGCAGCCCCTCGCCAGCAGCTGCAACGAGCCCTGCGTGCAGCAGTGCCCCGACTCCCGCGTGGTCATCTACCCACCCCCCGTGCTGGTCACCCTGCCCGGCCCCATCCTCTCCACCTTCCCGCAGCAGAGCGTGGTGGGCTCCGAGGGAGTCCCCGAAGTTGGAAGTGGCCCTGCTGGTTCCGGCATTCCCGGGGGCTCCCGTGTTTATGGTGGTGCCCGGTGGGGACGAGGGTACCCGGTGGGGAGCTGTGGACCGTGCTAAATCCACCACAAAGAGCACCATGCAGGAATGAAAAGCAGGTGTAGAAACACGGTTCCGATGCATTAGAAGGGCTGAGCATGCAGGGCTGTAGTGGTTAAATATCTGGAAATGCCTACAGCTTCTGAAAAAAGCATCCATTTACATTCTTCCCATGTTATCCTCTATGAGTTTCCTAATACCTTCCCATCTTTAAGTACTCTGTTCTTAATGCTATGGACTAAATTGTAATTCTTTGCCATGATATATAAAAGCTTCCAATATAAAAGGATCAGGTTGGCATGCATTGCACGTTCCTCTTGTAGGCTCTTTCTGTGGCTAACAAGGTATAAAAGTCTTAGCACGAGACCACGCTGTGCTTCGCTCCGTGCATTTCTTGCTGTGATCAGGGCTGTGTGTCAGCGCCGGGCGGCAAGAGGGAGACGGCCCCAGCTATTACATGAATCACTTCGAATCAAATCACAGGCTGCGGCCCGTTTGTAATCTGCACCGTGTAATTCTGCCCCTGTGTGATCTGCTTTCTCATTAAACAGCACCTTGCAACATGTCCCTGGCCTCTGTGCGTGTCTGTTCCTCCTGTGCAGGTGCTTTTGTCCTGCTGCACCAGGCTGATGCTATCGCGCTGCTGCAGGAGAATGATCTCTGGAGAGATCTGGCGCACAAGTGTCTTCATTAGCTGCTACCCTCAGGGCTAGCCTGTCTGAATGGCAATAAAATGTGGCAGTGCAGGTGAGGAAGAGTCCGTATTACCGAAAGGAAACTGAATTCCCATCTTTACTCCTCCAAAATGTTACATTTTTTTCATGTGCATGGCAGAAAAAATAATGACATTCGTCTGTACAGTCTGGAAATTCAGAAATACATATGATAAACCCCTCACAGGCTGTCAGCGCTGCTCCTGTGCTGGAAGTGTTCCATAACTATTGGTTTGCAGCAGAAATACGGGACTACAGGCCGGCAAAATACCGCGACCGTTCAGGGTTGTTTCGTACTGGTCCCTCCTTGAAAATTATTGTTCTTGTGTGCAAGGCAAACAAAATGCATGTGCTTTGTAATAGCGTGTAATTGGCTGTTGGTGAGCTTGGATGAGAAGGTGATTAAACCAGCTTCTTGCCAACCACATGGATCCTCCCATCCAAAAGAGAAATTCCCTAAACCTCAAAAACCAGATGAAGGAGTCCTTATTATTGTTATGCTAATGGCATATTTGGAAATCAAGTAAAGTTTATTAGTGAGAGCTCTAAGGTTGCTCTTTCAGCGTAATAAGTTGAGACTTGTATTTACCACAAAACACCAAGTGCCGATGGAAGGGGGAGGTTTTGCCAGTGAGTTTTCTCTGCACCTGTGCTGGTAACGTGCCCTTTCCCTGTCCATATGGAGCAAAATATTCGCGTGAGGGGCTCTGACGTTTGCAAAGAGCAAGAGAATACTTCTTACTAAGCGGATAGCATCTTGTGAAGGTAGAAGCCTGTTTCAAACACTAAAATGATGCTGAAGTAACATGCCAGCTTGGAGCTGGCAATCAGAAGCCTGAATAAATTTGCAGGAGGGAGTTTTCTGCTGGCTAACGAACCCGGCCATGTCCCGCAGGGAGATCTTGCAGGATGGGGAGCGCGTTTGGCTTCCCGTCCCCGGAGCCTGTGCGTGGCCGGGCACTACCAGCATTCCTGGCGCCGGGAAGCGGCTCGGAGGGCCCGGGAGGTGCAGCCAGGGTCGGTCGGAGCACGGGCAGAGCGGAGGCAGCCCTGGGGCCACAAGGGGACCTGGTGGATTGATGGCAGCCCCAGGGGCCTGGCTGGTTGGGGCAGTTGCAGCCCGTGGCCTTGGGCCACGTTCCTGGGCACTCCGATGTCATCGGAGCTGCCTTAGGAGTGATGGGGCCTCTAACACGAGGGAGCAGAAACACGAGGCACCTGCAAAAAGGGGCCAGGGCGGCTGAAGGACCCAAACGGCTCCGAGACCTTCCCCCAGCTCTTAGTTTTTTTGTGTGTTTTATCCCGTCCGGCTGCGTCCGTGCGCGCTCGGCCCTCCCGCCTCGCTGCCGCAGCAGGGGAAGCCACCACGCGAGGAGGCGTCCGGGGCGGGAGCCCTTCCCGGGGGGACCCAGCCCTCGCGGGGCTGACTG